GGAGTAGAAAGTATTGAAACTCTGGAGGAAAAATCTACATTCAGATTTCAGTTACCAGCTGCCTAGATGTAGGACCTTAGCAGGTTGCTTATCCTTCCTAAAGCACAACTTTCTCATCCGTGAAATGGGAATAATTATGCCTACTCACAGGTTATTATATGTCAGGTGCCCTACACCATGTGTGTTCAGTGGTATTCAGGCTGTGGGTTGTCACCAGTGGTGCAAAGTGTTATTTTTGTTCTTATTCTTTTTAACAGCCACAGAGTGGGGCAAAGTTTTAAAGTTTAAAAGCCACCATAATGGCTGGCTAGAAAAACTGGGCTTGAAACAAATTTCCTATGAACAACTCATCTTGGGAGAAGAACTCATTCTAAGTAGAGTGCAGTGTTTAGACTCAAACAGGTAAGAGTTCAAAAGACAGAAGAAATAAACCTAAGGAGCTTAGAGCCAAAGAAAACGTTTCGGCCACGCAGTGATGTTCCTGACTAGATCCCAGGACTCAAATGAAGTTCATACTGGGAACTGGGATGCATTCAATGGCCTAGGTTTGAATTTGAAATCTCTCCTTTCCTAGCTGTGTGACCTTTGGAAAAGTTGCCACTGTAGCTCTTACATTCTCCATGTTCCAGTGCATCCCTTCCATGCCTCACAGAACTGAATTGGCAGAATTTGACCAAATACCAGTGTATCTTTTAAAAGAAATTTAATGCAACTGCAGATCAGCTTCACCCCATGCGGAAGAACAGCAGTCATCTACCTAAGCACAAAGACAAGTCTTGGTCTTTAGTTTAAATACCAAAAGATCAACCTCACCACTGGAGTTTAGCACCTGAATGCAAAGTCATAATCTTTGATCAACAGTACAACTACAAATCAGCAATTTGGTTAAGTTCAAGGTTGAAACGCTCACTATTCATCTCCCATAGAGAAGCCTGATGAGGACAAATATTACTGAAGAAGAACCATTTATGACATACAAGTACCTGGCTGGTCATGTGACTGGAAAGCTATATACCCACAATCCTCACTTCAGTTACCACAGAAATACTGTCATCCAGTGATATTATGCCCCTAGCTTCTTAATCCACTTTAGATAACAAGTTCATGAGATCAAATACATTTTCTGCAACTTTTACTAAATCCCTTAATGTCACTCATTTAGATCCCATCTGATAAATTCTGCCAAAGTTAGTGCAAGTATAACGTTTGTTTTTCTTGATGAATGAATGCCATTTAATTTATTAAGCAAATGAGAACTAAAAGGTTTTATGTATTATCCTTTTAGCCTCGGTGGTTAAGTTTAGAGTGAAGTTTATGTTCCATCTCAGTAATTATCATTATTCTGGGATTGGTTTCTTTTTTTTTTTGCATTTTCTTAAAATACAACTTTCTCCCTACCCTTTCCTTTTGTGATTGTTAGAGCTTCTATAGCCATCTTGCTCAGACAGGCAGACTGGGACTGTCTGAAAATGAATTTACATGAAGGAAGCCAAACTACAAAATGGAATGAGAAAAACTAGAATCCATTAACATCTTTTGAGTCCCTGGATCAAGCTATGCCTGAAGAAATACCTTGTTTTTCTCCAGTTGAGTGAGCCACTAAACTTCCTTTTGGTTTTAGCCATTTTGAATTAGATTTTCATTCACTTGGAAGTTCTAGCTAACAAAGAAAACAATTTTAAGATTATCTGACAAGTACTCTCATTACTGTAATTCATTTTCTTAAAAATAAACTGGGTACAGTTTTATGAATGAACGTAAGAAAGTGAAATTTTTAGACATCATCTTTATGTCATATCAAATTTATAATAAAAGCAGGTTAAAACATTCTTTCAAAGGATCAACAGCACAGGGAAAAAAGGAGGGAAAAAGCTTTTCACTACCATTTTTATTGACAGTTCTCCTTAAGAGCAGAGAAGAGAGGCTTAGTAAAGAATCTTTAGACACAAAAGTAAGAAAAGGAGGAGAACAGCACCATCTAGAAGAAAACTAATTTCTCTGAGAAACACACACAGTGTTCTAGTGCAAACCTGAAACATACCTGCCAGAGCAAATCGGGATCAAAGTTAAAACTTGGAGCTCCCTGCAAGAAGATAAAGCACAAATAACTTCATTCATTTTGTTTCCTTTCATTTCTATTCAGGTGACTTTTTCCCCCTGGCTCAACTGGCTACAGGAGATGTGATGGCTGCAAGAGAATTACTCCCTCTTTGATGCTGGCAGATTGCCCTCCTCAATGCTTCTCCACAGAGACACATTTTCACAATTGTACAAGTCCAGAGGGGCACGTACAGATCTCCTAGAACTACCAGACCCTACTTCTAAAACTGCTTGAATTAGGGCAAGGTTTCACAAATTTTCACTACAAACAACTTTAAGTTGATGCAAAGTGTATGTGTGGAAAAAATGAGGGGTCAGAAGTTCACCCTCAGTCTCTCTAAGAAGCAAGGGACTAGTAGAGGTAATTTATTAGCCCTTAATTCATGTCATCTCCCTGAAACTACAGGTCAAATTTTCTCTAGGAAAGTTCCTTTTAACCTTAGATTTTGAGAAGGCACTAGATGACACCAGTATTTACCCAAAGGTGTTTAAGTTCAAACACAATGGCGTCTCGAGTTCCACCCACCAAGTTTAAGGGTCAGTTATATTTGATAGTCAACCCTAAGGCTTGTAAAATATGGGTTTCTAATATTCCCTCCAATTTCACAGGGATGTAATATAGAAAATCAGATGAGATCACAGCCTCTGTCACAAGATACACACATGGCTGAAAAGATGACCCTCTACCATCTGCCTCCATAACTCAATTTATGTATGGTAAGTATAGATGCTAATGGGACTCAGACTTCTCCACTGACAAAACAGAAGGCAGTGCTTGGTAAATTAATACACATCCAAAACAACAACAACAACAACAACAACAACAGAAAAACGCCTGGCTCAATTCCCTGACAAGTGTATTGATCATCATTTGTCCTAAAAATGTGTTTCATAAGCCAGCATCATGGGCATCCATAAAAGAAAAACTCCACACTCAATTTACTGATAATATATGAATGTGGATTTGCCCTAAAAATCATGTTTTTATGGCTTCCCATATAGATAGCATAAATGGGTGTATTTATTTACTATTTTATTGTTTTCAAATAAAACATATGATACGAGAAATAGTAGAAATTAAACAGATTTTCTACTTCTAAAAGTCACCAAAAAGTATTAATTGTCTGAATAGAGACCTTTACAAAGATAATGCCCAATGCACTGAGAGAGATGTCATTCCTGATTTTTCTAAAGATTCCTGGAATTCACTCTTTTTAAAAAGAAAAGATACTTTGGAAATACATTCTATATACATCCTCTTTTCCATTAGTAACTGTGCCAGAGACCAGAATGGCAGGCATGCAGGTGGGTGGAAGAAACACTGAGTGACTCTTTACAAAAAAATAAAATATTTTCTCTTTTTTCTTTTCTTTAAAAGAGAGAGAGAGAGAGAGAGAGAGAGAGAGAGAGAGAGAAACAAAGAAAAAGCCCTAACCAAATTTCAGGTTTGGTTCCAATGTAAAGTGAGGAAGAAATCTCAGTTATGAAACACTCCCCCACAAGTGTAGAATGATAAGTTTCTTTTCAAAACAAGTTCAAATTACATAAATTCAAACTGAATTGATGAGCCAAGATTAGCAAGTATTGTTCATTCTTATTGGCATTTGGTTCCTTTGATGATATTTTTCAAACCAATTTGCTGCAAATGCATTATGAGTACCTTGACTCATGTAACCCCACTCGGGGGACATACAGTTTTAAAGCAAATGTTCTACATTATTTCCACAAAAATTCACTTGAAGACATTGTCATTGACAAGAAAGAAAGAAAGAAAGAAAGAAAGAAAGAAAGAAAGAAAGAAAGAAAGAAAGAAAGAAAAAAGAAAAGAAAACAAAAAGAAAACACCTTAAAAAAAATCCTAAGTCAGAACTGTACATGACAAAAATTCAATAGCTGGTGTTAATTTCTTTTTCTCCAGGACTTAGGGATTTTTTGGCAGACAATTCAAAATCATACACTATAAAAGACAGAAAAATCATTATCCTATCAGCAAGTTTCAGAATTCTCTTGTAGGCTAATGGTGACCAGCAAACTCTCAAGTGTTAAATTCAAGTATGGAATTATCAGATTGTAAACATCACTGTTATGTTTTTCTTCATGAAACAATTTAAATCAAGAATTATTTACTCTTAAGATAAACACTATTTGCTTCCCTCTGGCAAACACTGAAAGTAAAAAACCTTTATTTACATTTCTAGATACTGACAAAGCAATGGGTTTCATTTAGATCTGTTTCTTAATCATACATCATGGCTTAGCCATCATCATTTATTTCATTATTCTTTAAATGCCCTAAATCCATCCAGGAGGATCTATAATTCATTTAAATAGCATATCTCTATGCTTCCACAGCTATGTTATGAGTACTTAATAAGTTATTATTACTTCCAGACTTGGTTAGGAGAAAATACTGGAGTCCTGGGAAAGTACTATTCTTTGAAAAGTACATTTTCCTGATAGCACAGTTTTAATTATTTAAGGACTTCATTGAATGTAAGTCAACTTCTTTGCCAAACCTTAGTTTCTTAAGATATCTTTTCATTGTAATGTGAATGAAAAGGGGGAAAAAAATTATTCTAGCTTTAGAAATTTCCTTTTAAAGCACACACAAAACCTCCCCTAGGGTTGAAAGCATTGGCCATGCTCTGGAAATGAACCCACCCCTCCTTTCAGCCAAGGGATACTTGAGTCCTTTATTCTTTTGCCCAGAAAAGGCATCCTAATTAAAGGGCCAATAAATTAAATGTACCCAAGAAAGCAAAAAGATCCAGAAGAAAAGCACCCACCAGGGTGCCTAGAGAAAAACACAAGGTTCATTTCAAGTGTTTATGTTAGGCACCATCAAGTTAGAACAAACTCCGGAGGCACAGCTGTTTTTGACAAATGTGAACAGCTCCTACCTTCATTTCAATGACAGTCTGGAGAGCCTTCGTCTTGGCTGGCTCCGGCTGAAGTTGGCTTCTTCGGTGCAATTCCTGTGGAGGAACACGATAGAAATAAGCCTGACGGTTCATCCTTCCGTTACACCATGACCTTTACACAGGTACCACACAGCCCACCGGGTGCAGGTTTGCTGTGCACAGACATAAACAAGCCACAGGTGCCTCTCCCCCCACCCTCTTTAGCATCACTCCTGCCTGGAGCCTGCGTTCCAGTGAAAACCTCCTGGCACATGCGCTATTTCTGAAACTTCCATCAATAATTAATGTCAACTGTGAAAAAGCCAGCAAGTAATCATAGTCCAAATACTGTTCAACACTGGGGCTGTTGCCCAGCCATCAAATCATAATTTACTAAATTACATTTCTCTGTGCTCCCAATACAAACACAGCATGGAAACGGAGGAAAGAAAATGACTAACGTGGTTGCAAATCCACTGCACGCATGGCATTTTGCTACTGAGGTAGGTTTGAAATGAGCAATTTAAAACCTTTTCAGTACAACTGTGTTACTTTTTGGAGTGAACTGATGTGATGAAACCCTGTGAATATCTTGCTTCCTAATTTACAGTTTCGGTCCTTGTTCAAAATCACATCTGTGTGTGATATGTTTATACACTCATGATGCCAAGAAATTAAAACTGGCATTAATATCAACAGTGTTAGAGAGGATACAAAAATGGTTAAAGCCAGATGCAGACCCAAGAACTTCTGGAATATGACAAATATAACTTCAGGTAAAAAGCAAGCAACATAACCACAATTTTAACCTTGAAGGCTCACTTTTTTTATGCCTCTTCTCCAAAGAACAGTTCTGTAAAGACTTTGAAAGTTGCCTTGGCAGAAGAAGACATAAAGATAAGATTTGTTCAGTTTATACTTTGATTTTCTTAGTAATAATTATAAACAGTTTTATGAAAGCAGCCAATGAGAGGAAAAAACAACAGTGCTCACACATGTCCATGCCACTGATACTAGTCACCTATGGAGTAATTTCATAAGATTTATTTGCTTCCAGAAAAATCATTTAAATTCAACATGAAGTAGTTCTAGGCCTTCACATTCCACTGGGCCACAGACATTAAAAATGAAAAGCAAACAAACAAAAAACTACCTTGGCTTTAGGGAAGAGAACTAACATGATTTCTAGCTTTTCCAAGGAAAGGTATTAAAATTAAATCTCATTCCACCACTACCGTCTACTATCATCACCATCTCATAAAGACAGAACATAACAATGTAAGTATTGCCAGAAAAACAGAATTCCACAATAAAAGATAATCCTTCCCAGGATAATAAAACAAGCAATCTTTGCCCATATCCCATTATATTGTTCTTATTTGCTAGTGGCCCAAGAAGACTTGGTCATGGAACACGGTGCACATGTCTAGGAACCAGCCCTGGAAAATCACCACTACAGCTCTGGAATACGGCATATTTTCTTTCCAAAGTCATCACTGGCACACACCAGCAAACTTGTGCAAAACTACTTCTCAACCTCCAATTTGAGAAGAATTTGAATTAGTGCTTCCTAATTATTCAAAATGGTCTCACAAAGACATTTTTTCCCTAACATATCCTTGGAAGATACAGAGTCAAGTATTACCAAACCCATCTTATGAATAGAGACAGAAAGAAAGCCTGTGTCCTTTTGGAGGCCCTGGTCTAAAATAACCCAGCAATACTGGTCATTTTTAGGCTGCATGGTAATGGCAGAAATTTTCTGAAGGAATGACCTTAAAAGCAACTTCCCTTCTGTGTCTCCCTCTCTCTCTGCCCCTTCCTACTCTCTC